ATGAGCTCTAAGGTTCCTTCCAGCTCTGAGTTGGTACAGCATACCTGGATAGCTCCCAGATCCCAAGGCCTGATACAGCCTTTACAACTAGATGCTAGGAACATCAGTTTGCCCACATATGAAGCACACTCAGTATTCCAGCTGAGCTGGCTTGCCTGCTGCTTCCACACAGGACACTGGCAAAGGCAATCTTCCTTGTCTGGAGTGTGCTCCCTCCTCCAGAGTCCCTGTTGTTGTTCAGCTGTGTCCAACTCTCCATGACCCCACTGGGGTTTTCTTGGCAAAGCTACTGCAGTGGTTTGCCATTTCCTTCTCCAGCTCCTTTTACAGATGAGGAAACTGAGACAAACAGGGTTAAGTGACTTGCCCAGGGTCATACAGACAGAAAGCATCTGAGGCCAGAATTGAACTCAAGAGGAGTCTTTCTGACTCCAGTTCCGGCACTCTACACACTGTCCCACCTAACTGCCCAGAGATTCCCTAGCTTCCTTCATGGTTTAGCTCAAATACTATCTCTCTACAGAAAAAATATGCTAATTCTCCATTACTAGAGCCCTTACCCTGCAAGTTAGAGTGTGTGTGTGTGTGTGTGTGTGTGTGTGTGTGTGTGTGTGTGTAAAACACTTATTTTTTCCTATATTTGTTAAATCTCCTCAAAAGAATATAAGTTACCTGAAGGCAAGGACTTTCGTTTTTGTCTTTGGTCCCCAATGCCCAGTACAGTGCCTAGCACATAGTAGGTGGTTAACAAATGTTTGTTGATTGAGGTGAATTAAAGTGAAGATAATAATACTTTTACTACCTCCTTCTTGGGAAAGTACCTTTTAACTCTTCAAGGAAAAGCTATCAGTATTATTGTGAAAAGTAGAAAAAGAGTAAAAAGTAGAAAACTATTACATTAGATAGTGCTATAAAAGTGGAGGGAATTCTGGCTCTGGAATCAGGAGATCTGGGTTCGGGGACTATCCATAAGGTTTACTACCTGTATGACACATCCCAAGTCGCTTAACCTCCCTGATCCTCAGTTTCCTCTTCTGTAAATTAGGGAGTAAAACTGGACAGCCTCTGAGGTGGCTGCTACAGCTATGATCTATGATGGTTTTAAGTTGGGACTATTTCTTAAGGATAAAGTGAACGATAAATAATTTTTAACATGTCTTTAGTTATAAAGTAACATGTTCAACACTGGACACACAAACATAGAACAGTCCCTGTCCTCAGGGCATTTACGTTCTGCTGCAGGATATAACTTTTTTTGGCTCAAATTCCCTTTATCAATCCAGCTCTAACTTACATTCTCTCAGAGAGCTTAGATTAAGAGACTAGCCCACAGTCCCCCAGGGCCGGCATCAGAGAGATACATGACTCTTCCTCTTTACAAACAAGTACATAAAAAATAAAACTGACTATAAAGATCACTAACAATAGAAGACAGGCACAGGAGCCAGAACTCTGGAAGGAAAATTTAGCGGGAAGGCAGGGAATGCAAGGAAGATTTAGTGTGGGCTGCACCCAAGCCTCGGGGCTGAGACAATGACAGCCCAGGCCTGAAAGTCAATCCAACTTCCCTCAAGGTTCATTTCCAGCCGACACCTTCTGAAGCCTCTTCAGACTGTCGCACCCTACGAGTACCCGCCTCTCCTCTCGGAAATTCCTTTGGATTTAATTTGCACGTGGTTGGCATGCAATCATCTAGCTGTGTACGGTTGTTTCCCCAGTAGAAGGTAAGCTTCTCGAGGGAAAGACCAGCCTCAATTTCGCGCTGGCAACCCGCAGAACCTAGCTGAGGGCAGAGGCCACATCTGGACAGAGAAGGGGCAAGAATGGCCGTCTTCGGAGGCTCCTTCCAGCTCTGGGCTGGCGGAAAGGGGATGGGGAAGGGAAGGGGAAGGAGGAGCTCCCCGATCCCGGCCCCGCGCACCTCGCACCTCCCGCTCCGGCTCCGAGTCCTCGTCGGCCTCACGCTCCCGCTTCACGCGCGTCCCCGGTAGCGACGGCGCGGGGACGAGCGCGGGCACGCTTCCGCCCGCATAGTCTCGCGCCGCCACCGGCTCCGAGTTCCGTTCCCGTTTCACGCGCACCGGGCTCCCCCGAGACCCCGTGCCGTCCGAATCCCGCTCCCGCTTCGACCGACTCGAGCTGCTCCGTGACTCCCCATCCCGCTTGCCCCGGGCGGAGCTCCGCGTCTCCCTTTTCGAACGGCTAGACATCCCCTCCGGCCACCGGCCCCGCCGCGCGCGCGCGCTGTTCCTCCGCGCAGGCTAAGAGGCCGCCCTCGCAGAACCGCGCCTGCGCGCCACAGCTGGCCAATCAGCCACAGTGTTTCTGGCCAATCCGCTGCAGCGTCTGCTCGGGCCTTCGGGAGCTACGGCCCGCACCTACAAACCGGTTTCCCAGGCTTCCGTGTGTGTGAGACTCCTGGATGCTCTCATTGGTTCCCGCACCACCTATGCGAAGGCTGAATGGACCAATCATCTTAATTACCCAGAGTTTCTTATTTAAAGGGCCAGATGGTTCCTGACTGGCCCGAGAGTAACGTTTAGCTTTAGGACTGGAGAAATTGTTACTTAAGTGACGGATGCATAACGGATAGATGCTATCTCGTCTCTCTAAGGCTGTGATGGATGTAGCGCAACACCCAGTTGCCCAAGAATTTTTTGGAAATGATTTGTATTGATGTTTTCTGCTTCTTACATCACCGTTGTAACAGCCCCTCCCCCTTCCTGAGAGCCATCCCATAAGACAAATGGTACTTTTTAGTAAGGAAAAAAAGTCAACAGACTGACAAGTAAAGTTATTCAAATGTGCAGTCAAGAGCATTTGGAAAATGAGAAAACTAAGCATGGGATGAACTCAAAAATAAAAAAAAAAGGCTGTGAATGATCGCCAAGAAGTTAGTTAACAGAAGCAACAATAATAATTGTCAGGCAGTTCCCTCCACCAGAGAAATCATAGTTCCCCACCAAAAGAATGGCAGTGTCTACAATAATCCAGTTCTTTGCGATTGACTTGGGAATCTGGAGTCTTTGGCCTCTAACTCAAATCCTGGCTCTGACATTCATCGTTTGTGTGATCAGAAGGAAGTCACTCACGTTCTCTGGGCCTCATTTTACCCCTCTGTAAAAGATGGGGATTGGACTAGACAGCTTTAAGGTCTTTGCCACCTCTAAATCTATGACCAATATGTGGTAGGAGTCCAGCCCACCCCACTGCCAATTAATCACAGGAGAGCCTGAAGGCTCTGTTGAATCAAAAGTAAAAGATAAAGGAATTTTGGTTGTTCAGTCATTTTTCAGTCATGTCCAACTCTTTGTGATCCCTTTTGGGGTTTTTCTTGGCAAAGATACTGGAGTAGTCTGCCATTTCCTTCTCCAACTCATTTTACAGATGGGGAAACTGAGGCAAACAGGGTTAAGTGACTTGCCCAGGGTCACAGAGCTAGTAATTTGATTTGAACTCAGAAAGATGAGTCTTCCTGACTTCAGGATGGGTACTCTATCCACTGCCCCCATATGAATAAGTCCTTAATCGATGAGAGAGGATCATTGGATCTTTGGACCATTCTATAAAGGATGAGGACTCACAGGGAACAACTTTTGCTGAGTTGGAGAAAATCACTCCTGACTCTTGGACAGTAAGTTCAAAGCCAGTCAGTCCCCAAATTATTCAATTCAATTAACACTTATTATGTGCCTACTAAGTGTCAAGCACTGTGCTTGCTAAGCACTAGGGATACAAAAAGAGACAAAAGACAGTCCCTCCCCTCAAGCAGCTTACTGGCACAGACCATATACAAAGTAAACTATATACAGGATAAATAGGAAATAATTAAAAAAGGTAAAGCACTGGAATCAAGAAGAGTTATGAGAGGTTTCCCGTAGAAGGCGAGATTTTAGTTGAGACTTAAAGGAAGCCAGGGAGATCAAAGCAGGGAAGGGAGAGCTTTCCAGGCATAGGGGACAATCAGAGAAAATGGTGGGAGCTGAGAGATGGAGGATCTTGTTCCATAGAACAGCCTGAAGGGCATCCTCACTGGATGGAAGAATAGATGTCAGAGAGTTGAATGCCAAACAGAACATTTTATTTTCTCCTAGAGGTAACAGGAGGTCACTGGTGTTTAGTGAGTAGGGGTGGGGTGACATGATCTGGCATACAGTAGGCACTGGTAGATATTTGTTGATTAATAGATTGACTGGACCTTTATTTCCCCACCTGTAAAATGAGTCCACTTTTTGTCTTTGTCTTTCTAGTGCCTTGTTAAGGTGAATTGAATTGAGGGAGTTAGAATGGATGTTGAGATCCTGTCTCCCTCCCATATCCAAGCCCCAGGCTGACAAAGCCCAGCTGGTGCTGAGGATAGAAGTGGAGGGGGTGGGGAAAAAACCAAGCTCCCCTTGCTCCGGAGAGAAGAGGGTAATGCCTCTCCCAATGACCCAGGAAACTTAGAATTCTATTGGGCCTTGCCAGCCACCCTACAGCTGCCTGCCCCTTAGGATCTTCTACATATATACATAGCTGTTTGCATGTTGTTTCTCCCATTAGAACTGAGGTCCTTGAGAGCAGGGGATTTTTTTTGCCTTTCTTACCTCAAGCTTTTAACGGAGTGTCTGTTATTGTTGATTGACTCCCTGGATTAGACGGAGAGCTCCTACAGATCTGGGACTATCTGTTTTCTATGTGCAGCCCCCTTGTTTCTCAGTGTTTGGCACATGGAAAGTGCTCGATAACATTTTCCCTCATTCATTCCTTCCTCCTTTCACTCATTCATACCAGGTAGGGAGAATATAGATTCACACAGACAGGTAAATACAAAGTATTTACAAAGTGTATACAAAGTAAACACAAGAGCAGTTGGGGAGGAAGAGAGCACTAGCAGCCGGCATCGCACAGGGGTGGGGCCAGCCTCTGCGCGCACAGAGAAGGGGAAGGACCGAGCAGGGGAGGCGGAGAGAAGAGGGGCCAAAGGGAACGGGGAGGGGCCGCGCGCGGGGGGTGGGGCCAGCCGGGAGCGGCTGGGGGGCCTGGGGAGGGGAAGGCGGCTGCGAGTGACGGTTGCTCTGGCGGCGGGGGCGGCGTTGGCTTTTTTTTCCTCCGAGCTCCCGGAGCGCCCCAATGGAAGCGGAGCCGGGTCCGGGCCGGCGCTGCTGCTGCAAACCGGGGGGGCGACTGGACATGAGCCACGGCTTCGTGCACCACATCCGGCGGAACCAGATCGCCCGGTGCGGCCGGGCCCGGGCCCGGACCCTGCCCCGGGCTCTACCCCCGCCCCACCCTCCCCTCTCTGCCCCCTCTCCCCCTGCCCCCGGGTCCCAGCCCCAGATCCTTCCTCCCCGCCCCCCAACCCCTGAACCCCCGGGTCCCAACCCACTGTCCTAATCTCTGTCCTCTGGCCCCTGCCCCGGGGGTTCCAGACCCAGTTCTCTCCTCCCCCCACCCCCACCCCTTGTACCTCCGGGTCCCTGCCTTCTGAACTAGTCTCAGCCTATTGGGCCCCTTCCCCGACCCCTCCACCAGGGTCCCTGCCCTCTATCCCCCTGCCTCCGGGTCCCTGACCCAATTCCTCCCTCCCCTGGTCCCAGCCCCCTGCCCTAAACTGGGTCTTCCGGCCCTTCCCCCTTCCTGCTCCCTCCAGGTCCCTACCCCTGTTCTCCCCCCAGGGTTCCTGTCGTCCCTTCCCCACCCCCATCCCCTCTGCCCCAAACCTTTTTATGCCTGGATCCCTGTCCTCTGTCCTAATATCGACCTCTTTGGCCCCTTCCTCTCCCCGGGAGCCTTCCTTCTGTCCTTCTGCTGCCAGCCCCTGGGTTCCTGTCCCTGTACCTCCCTCTACCCTCTGGAACTCCGGACCCCTGCCCTAGTCTCTGCCATCAGGCTCCTCCCCGTTCCCCTCCCCATCCCTTCCCTTTTCCTAGCCCTTGTCCCCCCTAACCCCAGAGGCCTCCTTCCTTGGGGCCTCTCTGACCCCTGACCTCTCCCCCACCCCTTTCCATCCCCCCCGCAGAGATAATTACGACAAGAAGATGAAGCAGGCAGCCAAGGAGAAGGTACGGAGGCGGCTCACCCCTGGCCCTACGAGGCCCCGAAAGCCCGACCAGCAGGTGTACTTACCCCGACGACGATGCGAGGCGAGGCTGAGCCGGCCCGTAGCCTCCACTGGGAGCCGGGGTGAGCTAGCAAGAGGGGGCCGTGCCCCAGGAGCCTCTAACTAGCGGGGTGTCTCTGGGCAGGTCCCTGAATCCCTGGGGCCTCCATCTCATACATAAAACCAGGAAGTGGGACGGGATGCGGTAGATAGAGCTTCGGCTAGAGTCAGAAAGACCTGGGTTCCAAAATTGCTGGTGTCACTTAATAGCTGGATGACCCTGTAAAAAGGGGGGGGGTGTTGTAGGTAGTGGGGAGCCGGGAGCATCACAGGTTCAGAGCTGGAAGAGGCCATGAAGTTCAGCCCCCTTCTTTTCCAGATGGTCCAAAAGGTTCAGTGATTCACAGGGTTTCACAGCTGGGAAGTGAGAAGCAGGGAAACTGGACTTGGCATCAGGAAGACCTGGGTTCCAGTCCTGTCTCTGTCATTTGCTAGCTGTGTGACCTTGAGTAGGGTACTGAATGTCTTTGGGCCTCAGTTTCTTCATCTGAAAAATGATGGGATGGGACCATCTGATCCTGCCTTAAGTTTGAATCCTGCCTTAAACACTTACCTGGGCAAGTCACTTAGCCTCAGTTTGCCCATCTGTAAAATGAGATATTGATAACACCTATCTCTCAGAGTTGTTCTGAGGATAGAATGAGATAATGATGCACTTCAAAAGGGGCTAGTAAATGTATGATCGTATTACCATAATTTAATAGGATCTTAGATCTAGAAATGGGAGAGTCCTCAGATCTAGTACAGCCTGCTCATTTTACATATAAAGAGGCAGCCCCAGGAAGGGTGACTTGCCCAAGGCCACACAGTTCACAAGCATGAGTGTGATTTGAACCTAAGACCTCTGACCTCAAAACTAGTGCATTCCTTCCTACCAGCCTGCTTCCTTATTGATGACTGAGGAAATTATTTTCTCGACAATAAACCAGGAAGCAAAGGACCCGGTTTCAAATCAAGGCCTGGCATTTGCTCTAACAGTTATTGGCTATGTCAGTACCTCTGGGCCTCAGTTTCTTCATCTGTCAGAAGGGACATCATAAGTATTGAACAGAGCTTTTGCAAGGTGAGAGAATATGTATGAATCACGTTGCAAAACTTAAAGTGTTACACAAACATTGCTATTGTTATACCAAAGGAAACTGAGGCCCAGAGAAAGGCAAAGGGAGGGCCTTGCTCAATACCACTCATTGGATTAATGAAAGTCACCCAGATTCCCCCATCCCTGCACTTGTTTGGCCCAGGCTTTGGGGACACTAGGCAGGTATGGGGCTGGCCACAGGGTGCCTGGGGAGAGATGCTCTTTCCAGGGGCATTCCCCACTTATTTCTTTGGCCATGCTCATTCCCAGACCATTTGTACTGGTCCTTCCTCCTTTTGCCCTCACCACTGGTTTCTCTTGGGACAGATACAAATTTCCCTGCATGCAGCCTAGACTATGGGGAGTCGAGCGAGAGCAGCAGCAGCAGTGGCAGCTCAGACCCAGAGCCCCCCAGTCTTCAGCTCTTCTGCCTAGAATACGAAGCAGACAGTGGGGAAGTCACATCTGTCATCGTGTATCAGGTACAGCACAGGAAGGGCCTCAGCCTGAAGGGGTTGGGGGGAGGGACACCTGGGTTTCCTGGGCTGGATGCCTGCTGGCACCCACAGAGGCCAGCTCTGCATGGGATACAGGAGTTGCTGGGAACACGTGTCTAGGATCCCCAGGAAGGGACAGAAACCTCGGAAGAGCCTCATGGCCAAGGAGATATGGGAGGGTTTTGTCCCAGGAACAGCCCTTAGGCCCCTGCCCCATGATGCCCTGCCCCCTCCCCAAAACCAGAGAGCTGACCTACCTCTTCTCCTCAGGACGATGACCCAGGAAGGGTGAGTGAGAAAGTCTCAGCCCGCACGCCGCTGGACGCACCCATGCGAGAAGCCCTCAAGATTCGCATCCAGGAAGAGATGGCAAAGCGGCGGAGCCGGCCCTGAGTGCCCGCTCTCCTGGGACTAGACAGACTGTCTTGGCTGTACGATCAGAGCTAGAGGTTTCCCCTGGGGACTCCAGGCCCTATCTGGTCTCCCCACTCAGCTGCTCGGGCTTTCGGAGAAGTGTCCGCTGCCAAGCTGGCCCCTGCGATCTCCTTTGCTGTGACTCCTCTGCCATCTCACCACAGACCACAGCTGCCTGGGAGTTGCAGGGAAGGGTTTCTCTGGCTTTGTGTCCTGCTAGCTCAAATTCCCAAAATGTGCACCTCCCAATCAATGAGAGCCCTGAAGAGCCCCCTCCCCCAAGCCCTGTGCCAATCAATGTACTCCATTTTCAAAGGAGGTTCATGACCTCCAAATCCGTGCTTGTTGTGTTTGGGCAAGTTCCTCCTCATGGCCCTGCTTCCCCTGACCAAACTCCTGGAGCATTTTCTCAGCCCTGGTTCCCTCCATTTGCCCCCTTTCCTTTCCATGTTACTGTCTCAGGTAGGCCCCTGAAGCTTCCCTCTGCACCCTCGGCCTTGCAGCTGCTCTCAGCCTACACAGATGTTTGTTTTCTCATTTTGACTACTCTTAGCAATATCTACAAGAGATCCAAGGAGAGACTGAGCAAAACCCCAAGAATGTTAGGGGATCAGTCAGAACCCTGAGTCTTCCGGTTGCCCTCCCTAGCAAGGAAATCCTGCCGTGCCTGGCCCATCAAAACTGGAATGTCAGTGGAGCTGAGATGCTTCTGAAGATGGTGAGGCTGGAGGACATCTGAGGATGAGATTACAGACCAAGACTCTCCCAACTGACTCAGGGCTCTCCAAATTCACGAAGGGGTGCTGAGCAAGCAATAACTATCCAGTTGGAGACCTACTGCTCCTTCCTCTCTCCTCTTCTTTAAAAAGGAACCCAAACCCTTGCCCACATGAAATCCAGAGATCCCTTTGTCCTTCTCCTCCCCAGCTCTGCCCCCTCGCATCGCCCATCTTTGAGTGTATAAAGTATGTTTGAGATTCTTAGAATAAAGGTACCAAAGGAAATCCTGTCCTAGTTATTGAGCATTCTTCCCAGTAGTTGGGCTAGGCTACAAACTGAGAAAGGTGTCCTGGTATTACCACAGTGTACTCTCCCTCCACCCTCCAACGGCACAGAGCATCACCTGCTTCCCAGAATTCCACCTGGCTCCAGTGAATGATGTGGATTCAAAGTGAACCTCAGAGACCTTCGACTATGAAACCAAAAAGCCTGGGTCCTGAGGATGCCGCTCTTTCCCATCAGAACCTTCACGGTCTATTAGGACTGGCTCCCTGCCACTTTCTTAAACTGTTACAGGGTCCTAAAACCACAGTTGGTTTAGGCCCCCTACCACTGAGAAGTGGAGTCATGCAGACACTTAGACCACAGGAACCTTTAGATTGGAAACAAGGCCACACTTGTAAACTCAGATGAATAAATGAGACCAAAATGGGGTTAAGTGGCTCAGTGGATAGAGTGCTAGGCCTGGAATCAGGAAGACCCAAGTTCAGATCCAGCCTCAGACACTTAATAGCTGTGTGACCCTGGGCAAGTCACTTAACCTCTGCTTAATCCACTACCACTCCAGTAGCCTTGTCAAGAAAACCCCATGGACAGTATGGTCCATGATTGGATGCAACAACTTGACTAAACAAAAAAAGTAGGAGGAGTGAAGTGGACAGTGAAAGGCCTGGAATCAGAAAGACCTGAATTCAAATCCAGCCTCAGACACTAGCTCTGTGATCCTTCACCCTGTGTGCCTCAGTTTCCTCATTTGTCAAAGAGCTGGAGAAGGAAATGGCAAACCACTCCAGTGTCTTTGCCAAGAAAACCCCAGACGGGGTCACGGAGAATCAGACCCGACTAAAACAACTGAACAAATGAGGGGTCTGAGAGATATGAAGGGCTAAAAGACCAGAATGAGCATCTGCCCTCCCAAGCAGGTAACACCTATATCCTGAGTCACCCCAGCCCCAGAATGCATTTCTGCCTCAAGCACCTTGAGGTTTGGCTCCAGGTAGAAGCAAAGTCAGGACATCAATAAGAGAAAATCACTGTTCCCCATGTTCCCTCAAAAGAGCTGGAAGTGTCTTTAATGCCAACATTAGAAGCCCCTGGCAAGGCCTAGTGGATTGATTAGGCTGGCTCAGGGCAAACCATTCAGCTCTCCCCAGGGGATACGGAGAAACAGTAATAGGTTTCATTTGGGTTAGAAGATATCACCCCCAGGGCATTCTTAGCATGGGGCCCTCAAGGACATGCTGCCTGTCAGAACTGTATTACCCTGGACAACAGGAAGAATAAGGACCTGAAAAGGCACATTGGACTAATTTGTTTCAACATGACATAGGCCAGGGGTTCGTAACCTTTCTGGTGTCCTACACCCCTTTGGCTGCCCGGAAAAGCCAATGGACTCACGCTTTGAATGTTTTTAAATGCACAAAATAACATGGGATTACCGAGCAAGCCCATCTTATTGGAATACAGCTATCAAAGCAAATATTCATGGCCCCCAGGTTCCCTGGTATCCCCGTTTCTGACCATAGCAACTCTATTTGCCTTCTCTCTGTCCTTGTTCTTCGGTGAAAGGGGCACTCAGCTTAAGCAAAGTCTAACATTCTTCTCCCAGGCAAGCTGTCTAATGGTGAAAGTTGGTATTTGAAGTACTGCTGTAGCATAATGAGACAGGCCTCCATACGTTAAAGTGCATGTCAGTCCTTCAAATTACCTTTGCAGGCTATGTTCTGGATTGTCCTGGGTCTCCTAGTCTTCAGTCTCCCCTTAGAGCTTAGAGCTAGTGAATTCTAGAAAGTTTTTCACTAGAAGTGGTACATAGATGCAGCCTAGAAGGAAGCCAGGCCCTCAGACAGTTAGAGGCGTGGGAGCACTTCCAGGCATTGGGGATGGGAAGTTGTATGTGGCACAAGAGGGTGAGCAAGTAAGCTAGAGGTCTGTAGAGTGTGTAAAGGGGAATGATGGGAAATGAGGCTGGCAAGGTAGGCTGGGGCCAGAAGGTGAAGGGCTTTGAACACCAAGCTGAACAGAACACAGGCCGTTCCTGAGCAGGGGACTGACTAATAGAGTGAGATCTATGCTCTACGAAAATTATTTTGGCAACTGTAGGAAGATGGATTGGAGAGGAGAAACTGGAAGCCAGAAATCCTATAAGGTAATGTTGAAATAGTCTGGATTAGAGGTGGTGAAGGTCTGAGGAAGGGTGGTGGCCATGAGAGTGGAGAAAGGGTAATAGATGCATTGTGGAGGTGAAATTGGGAAAACTTGGCAACTGATTCAATATTAGGAATGGTGACGGAGGGGGAAAATCAAGAATAGCACCAAGGTTGCAAACATGGGTGACAAGAAGGGGGTAGTATCCTCTATGGCAACAGGAAAGTTGGAGGGAGGAGAAAATTAGTTCCATTTTGAACACAATGAGTTTGGGGTACCTATGGGACATCCATCTGGAGATTTGGGACTGGAGCTGAGGTGAGAAATTAGGGCTGCCCGTACAGGTCTGGGATTTCTCTATATAGAGATGAGAATTGAATCCATGAAAGTCTATGAGATCACTGAGAAAAAAAGGCCTAGGACAGAGGTAGGGAATGGGGGGAGTCCTGGGTTTGGGGGCAAGAAGACTTGGGTTCATACCCCAACTTACTACCTATGTGACCCTGGACAAGTCACTTAAACTCTGTATAAAATGAAGGGCTTGCAACTGATGGTTTTTAAGTTCCCTTCCAGATCTGAATCTATAGTTTTAGGAAAGGAGACGGAGAACTTGCCAAACAAGGAGGTTGATAGCTCGCATTTATATGTAGCTTTAGTGCTGGCAAAACACTTTACATGTATTTTCCAATTTAACCTTCACAATTCTGTGAGATTGGTGCTATTATCCAATTTTACAGATGAAGAAACTGAGACTGGGAAAGGTTAAATGACTTGCCTAGGGTCACTCAGCTAGTAAGTGTATGAGGGAACTCAGGTCTTCCCAACTCCAGTCTGGCCCACTATCCACTAAGCTACCCTAGCCTCTTTTTTTTTCAAATTTCTTTAAAAATTAATTTATTTTTATTTATCAACAATGACTTCCATATGCTTTTGAGTTGAAAATTTTTCTCCCCCTTCCCCTCCACCACCCTCCCCAAGATGGCGCACAATCTGATATAAGCTATACATTTACATTCCTGTTAAACATATTTTCACATTAGTGATGTTGTAAGTAAGAATTAGAACCAATAGGAGGAACCACCAGAAAGAGGAAACAAAACTCAACAGGAGAGGGGGAAAAAACAGCAAATAGTATGCTTCAGTCTGCATTCAAATTCCATAGTTCTTTCTTTGGATGTGGATAGCATTTTCTATCACGAGGCCTTTGGAGATGTCTTAGATCCTTGTAATGCTGAGAAGGGTTAAGTTTATCAATATTAGTCATCACACAACATGGCTGTTATTGTGTACAAAGTCTTCTTGTTTCTGCTCACTTCACTCAGCATCAGCCCATACAAGTCTTTCCAGGTTTTTTTGAAATCAGCCTGCTCATCATTTCTTACAGTACAATAGTATTCCATTACATTCATATAACACAACTTGTTCAGCCATTCCCCAATTGATGGGCGTCCTCTCAATTTCCAATTCTTTGCTACCACAAAAAGAGCTGCTATGAATATTTTTGTACATGTGGGTACTTTTCCCATTTGTATGATCTCTTTGGGATGTAGCCCTAGAAGTGCTATTGCTGGGTCAAAAGGTATGTACATTTTTATAGCCCTTTGGGCATAGTTCCAAATTGTTCTCCAAAATGGATGGATCATTTCACAGCTCCACAGACAATGCATTAGTGTTTCAATTTTCCCACATCTTCTCCAACATTTATCATTTTCCTGTTTTGTCACGTTGGCCAATCTGATAGGTGTGAGATGTGGTACCTCAGAGTTGTTTTGATTTGCATTTCTCTAATCAATAGTGGTTTAGAGCATTTTTTCATATGACTATAAATGGCTTTAATTTCTTCATCTGAGAACTGCCTGTTCATATCCTTTGACCATTTCAATTGGGGAACACCCTAGCCTCTTGAGAGATCAAGATGATAAAAGGCCATTCTCTGTTCACAAGCCTTCAGTGGTTCCAATATTGACTCCAGGATGAAAGATAAGCTCAGTCTGAAACTGAAAGATGTCAGCTATCTGGCCCCAGTTCACTTTTCCAGATTTTTTTCCACATTACTCCTTCACATACTCAGATGTGGCCAAACTGTATTAGCTGTCCCTCAAGCCTGACATGTCTTCTCCAGCCTCAGTGCTTTCTACCAGGCCTTCATCCACATCTAGAATGCAAGTCAGTCCACCTTTAAGAATCCTGATTAAGAAAGCATACTATTTTCTCTGTTTTTGTTGTTTTTTTCTTTCTTCTGGTTTCTCCCTTTTGTTCTGATTCTTCTTTCACAACATGACTAATGTGGAAATATCTTTAGTATGATTGTACACGTATAACCTATATCAGATTGCTTGTCATCTTGGAGGGGGGGAGGGGAGGGAGGGAGAAAAAATTTGGAACTCAAAATCTTATAAAAAGTGGAGGTTGAAAACTAACTAACTAAACAAATAATCTGTGGGCTTTTAAAAAAAAATCTGGATCATGGTTCAGGTTGGGCCTCAAAGCCTTCAGGGACACCTCCATCCCCCACCGGTGGGGAGTGAACTCTTCCCTCTTCACATTGCCCTTTCTTAGGCCCACTGGTGGACTTTCTTGGGGAATGTAAGTTTCTGGAGGGCAGGATCTACATCATTTCAGCTTCTGTAGCCTCAGTGTCTTGCAAATAGCAGGTGCTCAATGTCTTTTGAATTAAATAGAATTATTCCAATTATGTTAGAATTGCTTAAAACATTTTTGAAAGTCTTCTTTTTAAAAAAATATTTACAATTTAATTCATGCCTTGGATCTTTACAAAAAGTAAATTAGCCTCTTTTCCAGATACCTACCTTGAATCTGGAGGGAAAAAAAACAACACCAAAAACCTGTTACAAAA